ATGGGTGCGCCACCACCGCCCGGCCTCAGCTGCCCATGGGTGGGGCCCTCCCTCATTAATCAAGAGAGTGTTTGTTCCACAGGCTTACCAATCTGATGGAGGTATTCTAACTGAAGTTCCCTCTTTCCATGTGACTCCAGCTTGTTCCAAGTTGACCAAACAAACAAAACCACTCATCAACGCAGGTAGAATTGTTCAACAAGTAAAATTCTTGCTGTGCAAGCCTGATAGCCTGAATTTTAATTCTCAGAACCAAAAACCAACTCCACAGTGTTGTCCTCTGACCTCCACATACCCTCCATGAAGTATACCATCCATACACACACACAGTAATAATTAATTTAATTTAAAAACCAGGAGGGCCAGGCGGTGATGGCACACACCTTTAATCCCAGCACTCGGGAGCCAGAGGCAGGCAGATATCTGTGAGTCTGAGGCTAACCTGGCTTATAGAGCAAGTTCCACGACAGGCTCCAAAGCTACAGAGAAACCCTGTCTTTTTTTTTTAAGATTTTATTTATTTATTATGTATACAACATTCTGCTTCCATGTATATCTGCACACCAGAAGAGGGCACCGGATCTCATAACGGATGGTTGTGGGCCACTATGTGGTTGCTGGGAATTGAACTCAGGACCTCTGGAAGAGCAGTCAGTGCTCTTAACCTCTGAGCCACCTCTCCAGCCCAGAGAAACCCTGTCTTTAAAACAAAACAAAACAAAATAGAAACCCAAGTGGGTAGCTGCTGAGATTGCACAAATACAATATGTATGCACACCTGCCTGCACAAGTGCATATACACACAACCACACACACATGCAGGCATTTGTACATACATGCATAAATGCACACATATATGTGCACAAACACACACACATGCACCCCCCCTCACACACACACAGCAAGTTCTGTTACATATATTTTACCAAAGTAAAACTCAACCCCTGACCTGCCTTCCTTGCCTCTCCAACGCTCTGCTTACACTGGTGCTGGCCTCAATTGCTCCAGGTTTGGCTCCCTCCATTGCCCTGCTGTATGGCCCCACTGAGCACTTCACCCTCTCTGGTCCTCAGTTCTGTCATGGGAATAGAACTAGAAGCATTCTGGGACTTTCCCAGCACTGACATGCCCCAACCTGCCTTCTGTATCACCCAATAGACCTCCCATCTCCACGAAGATACAACAAGGCTGCATGTCCTCAGTCCCTGAGCCTGGAGCACGGGGAGCAGTCTTAGCGACTATGGGAAAAGCCAGCTGGGTGTTGTCACACCATCCTAATAAACACACCCTTCTGGAGGCCTTCGTAGTCCCTTAGAGTTTATAGAATACTCCCACATCCATGCTCTCTGTGACCCTTTCATTCTACAAACATCCCAGATCTGCCCCCTGGGCCCCGGACTGGGCTAGCCTAGAACCACGGGGGAAGGGAGGTGCTTAGAGTCACGATGGCCACAACACGGATGGAACAGACTGGCTGAATTGAGGAGGACAGAAAGACCAGGGCCTGAAGAGGAGGCAGCTGATGGATGATGGAACCTGACAGACATGGGTAGAGTCAGGCAGTACCAGGTTCCCTCCACCATCACCCCTAGTCACTCTAAAGGCTGGCCTCCATCCTTAGGGACAGGGAGGCAGCCCTGTACCAAGGAGAAAGCACACTCCCACTTGTTAGTAGAACCTTAGCATTCTGGGTAGAGAATGGATTGGAGGAGAAGCAGAGGGGCTTGGGTGCCCATGACTAGGCACATCGGGTTACAGATGACTGGTCAAGATCATAAAAAAAGTGACAGATCTAGTTTCGAGTTCTCCCATTTGCTGAGTATCCAAACCCAGGTTTTTCTTACCCCCTTGGGCTGCCATTCAACTCCCTTGGTAACGCCACTGGATCCTCAATGTGTGCTGGTTCTGAGTGGCACCAGCATGAATTCACACCCCCTCCCAGTTCCCAGTACTAGCCAAGTCCACCTTTACAGCTGAAGGAACCAAAATAGAGACAGTGAATCACTTGTACAAGGTCATGTAGAATAAGGCAGTTACAGCTAGAGGTAGCTGGAGCTTTTAGGCCTCTGCCATGCAAAGGATGGGAGACTGTAGAATGGAGGAGGGCTGGGTAAGAGGTTTGCAGCACCAGCCACTCCCGAGAGATGAATAAAATGTGCACTCGCTATGTGACCTTGGACACTCATACTCTCTCTGAACCTCACTGGAGACACGAACAGTTTTCAGGACTGGCACCACTCCCCATTAGCCTACTTTTCTCATTCCTAATTGAACCCTAAACCTCAAATATAGCCAGAGGCAGAGGCAGAGATGGGGGTGGTGTGCTGAATGGAAAGGACCCAATGGAGGTGTTAGCGCTTCTTCAAAAACTTAGTCCGTTTCACGTGTGCCCTTGAGGCATAGGCTGCCCAGGCTTCTTTTGAGGGGACAGTAAATTCCACCTACCTCTTTTTCTAGCACCAGGAGGAAACAGGCTCTCAGCATTCTCCAAGGGCCCAGGCTTTGTTTAGAAGTGTCTCCTTGGAGGATGAGTGAGTCACCAGATCTTGGGTGGTCTGGGGGGCGGATCAGGATGTCACTGCTGGGTATTAGGCTGCAGGCAGCTGCCGCCCAAGATGGCCAACTTAGCAACTCAACCAGCTAGAGGGACCCAGCAGCCTCACCTGTAACCTGAGTGGCTGGAGCAGAACTCAGGCCCTCAGGAGCAAGGGCAGTCAGAGAACAGGTGAGCTAGCTCAGCTGATAATGACACAGGTGGCCAATCTGAGGATCTGGGACCCACGTAGTAAAAGGAGACTCTTTAGGCCTCTGTACACGAGCACATACACAAAACAAACAAACAAATGGGGTGTAATTTAAAAGGAAAAGGCAGCTACGAGTTCAGCTGGGTTCTGGCCCCTCTTGCAGCTGCGTCTCTACTAAAGATCTTTAAGAAAGTCTCGCTCGGGGCCAACAAGATGGCTCAGTGGGTAAAGGCATTTGCTGCCAGGCATGAGGCTTACTGGGACCCATTTGATGGGAGGAGTAAACCTACTCCTGCAGATTGTCCTCTGACCTCTACATAGATGTCACCATACCCATAGACAGACACAGACAGACAGACACACACGCGCGCGCGCCCACACACCCACACACCCACACACCCACACACACACACACAGATAAATTAAAGAAGTTTAAAGAAGAAAACCCAGTGCTGATTGCCTCATGGGTCCATTTAGAACCCAGCCCACCTTCCTACTGACTATGGAGCATCAGCCTGGTGCTTTATCTCAGTGATGAGGGTATGTCCCACGAAATAGACAGAGAGATATCCCAGGAGAGTGTCCAATTTTACCTCAGCTTCCTACAGAACTTATTCCTGGACTCACTAATGGCCTGTGGCAATCTAGGGTCCTACACTAAGAATCAGGTCCTGGCGGCACATGAGGGAGAGGCACTTGGCGTCTTTAGGACAGGGTCTCAGTGGGGAGGTCCTGGAAGGATCAACTATGGTTAGCCCAGGGACACCAGTGATCTTTGGCATGGGGACAGGATTACCAGAGGTGGGGACAGTCCATGAATAAATAACATTGGAAAACGAAGTTAAATAATCTATATATGACTCCTGTCACCTGCCCTGTGCCACCTGCATCCTCTTGTAGCCACCACACATGGGGATAATAAGGACTCATGTGATCAGTAGAAGGCAGCAGAGGTGTTGAGATTGTGGAATTCAGTAGCTTCCAGCTCGGTCAGTCCCATGAATGGACTTGCTCTTGAAAGCCTTGTCACAAGAACTCCAAGGGGGTGGACTTTTTGTCGAGGAACCAGCCCTCGTGAGTGGTCAGTCACAAACTAGATCCTTCAGCCCAGTTAGCATAAGGCAGCCACGGCCGGATGCCTAGCTTGACTATAAGCTCTGCACAAGCTGACAGAAGCACCTGGCTCCTGCCACAGCAATAGTGGCCAGCAGGGAATAGTGGCGACTTAAAGCAGCCTGCAGTACGTTAGTTTACAGAGTTATCAGAGCTCTTTATGCTGATGTAAGTCTCCAAGGGAAACACAAGAGCCCTTCTGTGAGGCTATCCTCAGAAGACTGCTCTCATATCTGGTCCTACTGTGTGATGGAGCACCCGACTACCATCTCCAGAAACTGCAACATGCCCCATTAATGAATCAGAAGTATACTCTTTGCCTTTCATACACCTTTAACAGAGCTTGTGTGTGTGTGTGTGTGTGTGTGTCCTATCAAGGTCCTAAGAGGAGCCTCACTCCAGCGCTGAAGACGGGAGGTAGGTCTCCATCTTCCTTCCTCAGAGAAGGTATTTATTTTCTAGCTTGTTCAGAGCTCTGCGATGGGAGGCAGGGACCTGAGCCTCTCCCATCAGACCAGGACATCGAAGAAGCCTCTCTTACCAGACAGGCCGGTACTTTCTCTCTCACCCCTCCCACACCCAGCAGACATTCCTCAGCCTGGACAAGGAGGGGCATGCTCTTGCTTTTCTCTCTCACTCTCTCTCCTTCTTGTGTTCTCACTTTTTTTGTTTTTGTTTTGAGACAGGGTTTCTCTGTGTAGCTTTGGAGCCTATCCTGGCACTCGCTCTGGAGACCAGGCTGGCCTCGAACTCACAGAGATCCGCCTGCCTCTGCCTCCCGAGTGCTGGGATTAAAGGCGTGTGCCACCAACGCCCGGCTTCTCTCTCTCCTTCTTTTACTTTTTATTTCTTTTATTTTTCAAGACAGTGTTTCTCGGAGTAACTTTGGAGTCTGTCCTGGAACTCACACTCACTTTGTGAATCAGAATGGCCTGGAACTCACAGATACCCGCCTGCCTCTGCCTCCCGAGTGCTGGGATTAAAGGTGTGTGTCACCTTGTCCAGATAACTCCCTTTTCAGTTGACTCCCTCTGCTTCAAATTCAGTAAGTACTGAAACCATGTCCTTGATGGCTCCAAAACCTACTTAAGTCCAGAAGGTTCCTAATTGTAAGAAAGAGAACTTAAAAAAAAAAAAAAAAGCTATAATGCAAACACTTTATTATCAAGAGTGACTGGTATTAGTTTTGTCTGGGCATTAATATTTTTAAAAAACTATACACCAAACCCAGGCTTTCCACCTAGTTCTGCTGTATAATTTTCTTTAAAAAAGGAAAGAGGGAAAGAAAGAAAAAAATATATCTGTATTGAAAGAATTACAAGCCAAAGTGCGTCTTTCTTGTTTCTCCATATACACACATTGCACCATATATAAATAATTACGTTGTAAAAATGACTCCATAATTACAAGTATAATATATATTTCCATATAATATATAAAACTTTATATTAAATCTAGGTAGATGATATCTGAGGGGAGGGCGAGGTTGTCCCTGGGGTGGCGTCTCTGGGTGCTGACCCCTGGAGGTGGGGGGGTCGCTGCAGCGCAGTGGCAGCCTCGATGCTATCTGTGGTTGTTGAGGAGTATCTCCAGCCAACAGGGGCAGGAGGTGATGAACTGTCGTGAGTAGCAGGGTCCCCAGCCCTTGGCGAAGCTGATGCGCACGCTGTGTGGATCGTAGGGGCCATGGGCGGCGTCTGCGTGCTGCAGCAGCCCTGAGCGCTCAAAGTCGAACACCTTGATGGAGTAGCCCGGTGGCACCTTGCGCACGACCAGGGAGCGGCCTCCGGGCGCATCCAGCGTTGGGGAGTTGACGAAGATGGGGTGCTCGCCCCGGTTGTAGGCCCACACACCATCCGGCTCCTTGCTGAGCAGGATGCCGAAGCCGATCTTGCTGCGCGTGCGCCGCACCGACTCACTGCGCTGCTCCAGGTTGAGCTGGCCCAGGCAGAAGCCGCTGCCCTGAGGTAGGTCGTAGAAGATGCTGATGGCCTGGTCGTACACCGCATAGAGGCGGCCCACGCGCGTCCGGTGCTCCCAGTACGCCACGCTGCACCAGTGGCTCGGCTTGGTGGCGTCTGGAGACATGCTGGCATCTGCAGGGCAAGCACAGGAAATGGCAAGGTTATTGCCAGTGCGGAAGGGAGGGGAGGCGAGGCAAGGTTTTCCAAGGTCAAGCAGCAAATGTGTGCCAACCAACCCACTGTGTGTCAGACCGTCAAATGACATAACACACAGTGGGGAGATAAACACCAACAAACACAGATAGTAGCTATAATTTATGAAATAAGTGCAGCAATCTTGTAAGACCCTGTCTCCAAGGTCATCAGGGCCTGCCCAAGGTGCACAGAGGCCCACCAGAATGTGATGCGAACCCCTTAGTCTCAGACTCCATCCCAATAGAACTCCTCCAGGGGCTTCCAGCGTAGGACAGGGTTAAGGTAGGGATCTCTTAGAATAAGGCACAGTGCACACTTTGCTGGCCTTCCATAAATAAGGCTATCTGGCACAGCGGCAAGCACTTTCTGTCGTCAGTTCTCAGGAGGTGGAAGATGAGGGATGGCTTGAGGGAAGCAGCCGTGAGGCTCCAGCCCCATTCTGAAAGAACAATGCTGACACTCCCTGCCTCAGTCTCCCGTGATCCTTACCAAGTTGATTTCTGAGCAGCATCACTCAGCAGTTGCTAAGTGCTATTTTTAAAAAGGGGGTTTTGCTCTCCCAAAGGATGTGGATGTTGTCAGTTCTGAGGTGTGTGTTGCTCCTCATCTCTGGGCCTCAGTTTTTCCACTCTATGGCAAAGCAGTGACCTGTGCTTTGTCCAGTCAACCTTGAAACACTGCCCCGACTCATAATGAGGCATTTCCGCATGTGTGAGGGACCTGATACAGGCAGTCCCAGAGCCCGTGCTCTTGGGTTTCGCTCATTTTTTCAGATGCCAAAGCCTCTGGTATCCTGTCTTTGCTTTGGGCTCACAGCTCTGAGAGGCAGGTGGGAACTATGGCTGCCCATTGAGGTGACATAATCTGTCATGCCTGCTTCTAGCTGGGGCCTTCTAAACATCCCAGCCCCTCCCAGGGAAACTGACCAACAATCAATCTAAGCCCAGGTGGGCAATCATTACTGGCAGCCTCTGCCTAAGTCCTAATTCTCAGCCCTGGGACACCTTTTCACACATACAAGGCTGCCTGGCTCTTAGCAGGAAATCGGCCCAGGGGGCTTTCTGTAGGCTGCCTCTTTGGGTTGCACAAGGACCCTAAAAACAGGCTCTTTGCCATTTGCCATTCAGGTGCCAGTCACAGGTTCCTCAGTCCGCCGAGGACAGCCAATCTTCACACCAGCTAAAAGCTAGGTGGGGGGAGGGGGGAGACAAGGAGATCCTGGCTATCCTCAACTAAATGTCCTTGGCTAGTGGACTTAGATAGCTCAAGCTCAAGCCCATGGCAAGTGACCAGGATCAGGGAGATCCTGAACTCCATCCTGCCAAGCCACTGTTCCTCTCTGTACCCATCCATCTGGCACAGGCTTGGGGAACTCGAGGACCAGAAAAACAGGGCCATGCCTACTGGCCATGAGCTTCTGGTACTGCTCACAGCCAGCAAGACTTCCTCTAGTGAGCCAGACCAAGAAGCTGAGTGCAGGAGCCTGAGTATGTTGGGAGCAGTGCCAGGATGGGTACCAGGAATCACTGGGCACCTCCTCTGAGCTAGGCACTGCCTTCATAGGTGAGGAAACTGAATCCCAGATTGCAAACCCCAGAATTCTGGAGCCAGCCTCACTGAGTGTGTGTGGTGCCAGTGATGAAATGCAGGGTAGCCTGCACATGCCAAGTACAAACTCTCCCGCTGAGCTACACCCAGACCCCCCAAGCCAGCCACGCTAGAGGGCGCTCTTCTCCATCCTCTAGGCCAGTGGTTCTCAACCTTCCCAATGCTGTGACCCTTTAATACAGTTAGTTCCTCATGTTGTCGTGACCCCCCCCCCCAGAATAAATTTTCATTGCTACTTCATGAGTGCAATTTTGCTGCTGTTATGAATTGTCATGTAAATATTTCTGGAGATAGAGATTTGCCAAAGGAGTCTCGACTGACAGGTTGAGAACTGCTGCTCTGGGCAGAATGTCAGGCAGGCTCCAGAACTGCGCATTGGGGCCGGTCACTTCCCTTCTCTATGCCTCAGCTTCCTTGTCTGTAACAGCAACTGCTCTAAAGGATTGTGAGTCCTGTAGGTGCTTACTTTACTCTCTCACCTAGGAAAGGGATTACTGGGCATAAAGCAGCATCATGTCCAGGTCAAAGTAGCAGCTTCACATAAGAGAGTGTGTCAGAGGCCACAGGTGGAGGAGTGTGTCTATGTGTCTGTGTGTGTGTGGGGGGGGGGGTACTTTCTCTTTGCCAACTTCTAGAAGGCTTTGCAATTCAAGTCCGATGTTTCTCTCAGCTGCCTGCCCTGGTCCCTAGCTTGGCCACAGGATCCTTCACAGGGAAGGTTGGTTACCTTATGAGCTGGGGTGAACAGCTCCAGCTGTCTGGCTCTGGATGCCCAGGCTGGACCCATCTCCACCTGCTGTGGTTTCTAAATTCCAGAAGGTAGTCAGCCTATTGCCCTGTATGACCTCTTTGACCATCCTCCTGGACCATTTAACTCCAGCATCCTCTGGTCCTGGACAAGGTGCCTACTTGGGTCAGTGACTCTGGGGATGGCCTACTCCCCACACTTGCTACATACAAACAGTAGAATCTCCGTCCTCTCTGTGTCCTTCTCCAAAGCTGCAAATCCTTACACTGCTGTGAGCACACTAAAGTAGAGGAAGGAAATAAATGAAACACAACTTTGTCCATGTACCTAGCTCACAGGAAGCCTGCCCTGAAGGTGAGTTTGGCCTCAGGTGAGAGGGCAGTGGAAGGGTGGTAGGCAAGGACTTAAGAACTCTGAGAGTGACATCCTAGCCTCATCTCATCTGGTAGAGATATCAAAGTGTTCCTAGAGAGGGGTTGTGTGTTTGTGTGTGTGTGTGTGTGTGTGTGTGTGTGTGTGTGTACTGGGGGAGGGGGTGAACCCAGGACCTTAGGCATGCTAGGCAAGAGTCAAGAGCTCTACCGCTGAGCAATACCCCAAGCCCAAGCCACACTTTAAAATGGGAACTGGGAGCGATAGTGCAGTGCTGTCTCTATTTTGTCCTATGGGTACTTGTTTTCTAACTTTGGAGCTAAGGAAAACATGGTCTAGAGAGAGCCTGTGGGTTCCACAAGTGCAGTTTGGAGGCCTTATACAAGGAAGGTGGCACCCCAGGTTGGGAGGGGGGGTGTAGAGTGATTTGCCTGAAGACAGGAAGCACAGCATGGCAAAGCTGGGGCCAGGACTTAGGATCCTTGAATGAGTCCAACACTTTGAATGGCACAGGGCAAAGGCTGAAGCCACTTGACTGGCTATGCAGCCACCAGCAAGCTGCTATGTGTGCCCCTCCCCACCCCCCAAGACTTATCAATCATCTCAGGCTCTGCCCACAGGAGGCCACTGTGGACTTGACAGAAACTCAAACAGTAAATCAAGTGGTGTAGAAAGAGACAGTCATTGTGCTCACTGGCTCCAGGCCTGTTGGAACAACCCAGACAAGGGCACTCCAGCTTAGAGGTGCTCGGAGAGGACAGTGGGTGGGGGAGCCCTTTCCACACTCCATAAAGCATCTCAGTTAGTTCCTGGTCTGGCACCTGTGGTGATGGACCTGCCTGTAAGAGAAGGCTTGGAAAGAAAACTGAAGGTCTAGAATGAACCTGGCTGTGGCTCCATGCTCACACCCACAACTTCCAAGAACCTAGTTTTGTGGAGACATGTCTGCTGTAAACTGACATGCCTCGGTGACAGTGACCGGGCAGGCTGTACCCATGTGCCTACATGGCCCTACTCTACTCATCAGGGATAGTCTCTTCTTTTTTGGGTTCCAGAGCTCTGGCCCTGTCATCTCCAGCAACCACCAGCCTAATTAGGAACCATCTCTTTAATTGCAAATAAATACCGGGGGAGTCAGACCAGAGCAACATCAAAGATGACCCAGGTCTGACCGAAACTCCTGCTCACTCCCATTTCCCCCCTCTGAATCCCTGGCCTGCTCAGGGCCTGGCCTAGTTCCCAGCCAGCTATGGGTCCTGCTGGGAGGGGTGGGTGGGAGGAGAAGAAACGCTGGGAGCCCTGCCTTCTAACCAGGGTCACCAAACTGCCTCCTTTCTCAGCCTCAGCCTTTTACCTGAGTAACAAGGAGGTAACTTCAATGCTCAGCTCTAACTTCCCATTCCCGGCAAGCTCTAGTCATTCCCTTGCCTGGTGTCCTGCTCAGTCATGCACCAATGGGGAGATACTGCTACCCTTTCAGGAACACCGTTCAGCAATGAAAGGAACCAAATCCACAAACAACATGCAATAGTATGGACCACCTTCAAAGGCACCTGCTTGGCCAAGGAAGTCACACACAGAAAACCCACTGAAGGCCAGAGACAGGAAGTTCTTGGCAGGCAGAACAGCTGATGGGACATATAAGAGCAAAGCTGGGCTTGTCTACATGTTCAAGTCCCCAGGTTCAATCCCCCTGCCACTGCAATAAATAAATAAAAATAAAGGAGAAAGAAAAATAAGGAGGTATCAGGATAGTTGACAAACTGGAGAGTGGGTTGAGCAGGAAGGGGCTGGGACTTCTGGGGTAGGAATGGTGGGATCTGGGGTATACATACACACTGCGAAGACTTATAACCTAAACACTAGGCTAAGCTTTTGCTGTAGTTATGATACCTATGGTGGTCTCAGCAGATCCCCAGGTGACGGCTCCCTGTTGTCTCCCAGAGGCACCCACATTCCTGCCACCAGAGGGTGGTGGCTGCCTGCTGAGAGCACCAGGCAACAGCCCCAACTAAGCCCCCACAGTAGGTCCCAGCCACAGGCTGGCAGGTCTTTCTCCAGACTTCTCTCTGCCCAGCCAAGGGTGCCTAGAGACCAACATGTAATTTTGTGTGCGTGTGGGGGTGGGGGGTACTGGACCTCAAGAAGGCTGACTGGAGTCTGGAGGAGGCAGGGAGGGTTGAAATCCCAAGAAATGCCTTTAGCTTCT